CCTGCCCATGGCAGGGGTGTTGGAACTCGATGATCTTTAAGGTCCCTTCCAACCCAAATCATTCTATGATTCTATGATTATCAAGACACTAGAAATCTGTGTCTAGGAATATACATAGGATTTAAAAAAAAATCCAGAAATACAGTATTTATTTATGAACAACCTCATTAAAAACCTTTTAGCATTTTAATTAAAAAAGCCTTGGCATTTTTAGAGAGAGGGGAAGAAGACCAAGTACAAAACCAGGTCCAAAGTAATTTCAGAGAGAGAAAACACTGGGTAATACTGGGCTGCCAAATTACAGTGTAATGGACTGCCCTTCCGCATGCACATGATTTGGCGGTCACAGCTACCCCAGCCTCTGCTGCCGCTCCTCCTTGCCGGGCACATCTGCCTGCTGCCAGCAGCCCCCTCTGTCCGTACCCCCAGATCCCGCTGCCAGTGCGCAGCTGTAGCAACAGCAGGGACAACATGCCGCAAGGCCCACGCACGCTTACCCCTGCTCAGATGTCCACCTCCCACTAGCCCCTTGCTTAAGGCTGTCTTCGCTGGTGTATCCACCACATACAGGTGTGCCATGGCGGTTTGTGCCGTGGTCTCTCCCAGAGTCAAGAGATCTACCTGCCTACAGGCTCCCCAGAAATCTGCCTGGGTACCTTCATGTCACAGTTTAATCATGAATCAAAGCACACCAATTCCTTCTGTCAGGGTGCTTGTACAACAGCTTTGAGCGTACACTTCAGGTAGAAAGGATCATCACAGGTCAACAATTTGTCTACAGCTAAAGGTATACAGGCTATAGTTAAAACTAAGCTCTGTTACCATCTAGACAGAAGATGGCTCCATCACGTTGTGCCCAAAGACACTGGCGCATACAGAAACTAGGCACAGGCAACCCACAATGTTTTAGAAGGTAAGGGTAAAACTAACATCTTGTTTAAGTTATGGATTAGCACTAGTCAGTAAAAGGTTTAGGTCTCTTCAAGGAAAGCTTTATTGTAGCAAGGTTTTTTGTAGAGGACTTGAAAACACAGACCACAAGACAAGTGTAAGCATTCTGGCAGTACGGTCATTACAAGAAACAAAAATCCCACTCTTAGAGCAAGCCTGTAGTTACAATTTTCTTTTATTCCTTTATACCTATGCCTGCTAGCTAGAATGCTAACATTTGAATTGCATTCAAAACAGAAGATTTATCTAATCTTAACTCTTATGCTGGTGTTCAGAGTGACCTTTCAGTTATCTGACAACTCTGCAACAGATCTGAGGAGTGACCCTGACGAGGCAGCAGGGCAGTGGGGCCTTAAAGCTGCACTGGCCCATCGGGAAGCTGGAGACACAGGGCGAGCAAAAGAAAGGTGAGCAGGGCTAAGTCATGGGCTCCTTGACACAGCAGGACCATAGGGAACACACCTGCATGTGGAGCATCTCTCAAGGTAAGGTTCTGCAGAGGTTAAGGAAGTTCTGCATGAACAACGAGGAAACAATTTTCCAAAGCCTCCATCTCATAAAAATATATACATTGTGACAACAAGTAGAAATGTTCTAAACCCCCAAAATAATCACAGATCTGTTATTGTAAATTTATGGGAGATTTAAAATTGTACAAAATTACTGCTTGTCAGCTGTTAATGACTGCTATGCGTAAAAATGGTTTTCTCGACCATTCAACAGTGGGCAGAGGTCTCTAAATCAGTAAATCTGAGAAGTAATTTTTAAGTCTGAGAAAAGTAATTTTTAAGGCTGAGAAAACCATTCGATGAACCTTAGTTTTCCACTCATTATCTTATGTTCAATTATACTGTTGTCACCTCATAATTAGTTTAAAACTTATTACCTTGTTTGTGTTATTCCATTCCCCAGTGTTGGGTTTGCAGCAGAAATTGGCTGAGTAAACGACTGTGCTGCTTTGTGCAATGGGACTGACAGCATATCAAATTTTTATGTTGTTTAACAACAATTGGGCATCGTTTGAGCATAATTCACGGAGGTGTGAAAACAGAATTGTTAATGTACTCATTTAAAGCTTCTCAGCTCAAGGAAATTAATCTGCAAGACATTTTTCATAACATATATCCACAGACTTCTATTGATTTTTTTTTTATTAAACTTTTACAATGATGCTTAAAGCCTGTGTCTTCCTTAGTCTCCCTTTGCTACAGCTTCTGTTTCAAAGGTTTATGTGATAACATGTATTACTGCACTTGTTTGCAGGAAAGACAAATGAAAACTGTGTATTCAAATATACCGTGTATCATCTCTTTCTTTTACCAGTTTAGGAGAGGCAGCTCATTTTCCCCGCTCTCATTTACCATCCTTGTTTAAAATAAAAAATTAGGAGGTTACAGAACAAACGCTAGGTTTTGCCCATATGAGCAGGACAGATGGGTATCTTTCTGAAATATTTATTGGTAGTCTTTCAGTAAGTGGTAGTAAGAGGGTAACAGATACCTTAGCAGCAATAAAGAGGAATCTCCAAACACATCAGATGTGGAAAGCTAAAAGCACAGCATAGCAGTATCTGCTGTGAAGATGCTCAGTTCTGCAAGAACTACTCTCAGTACACGAGAACAACATAGTACAAAAGATGTTGATGCTGATATTATAACACTTGCCACCACAGAAGTATGCAACTGTGTCTACTTTCA